ATACAGTATTAATTATTTTTTCATAATTTTACCCTTTTATCTCTCTTTTCCAATACAGGGTTCTTAATTACTACTCCTAGTAATTATTACTTCTCTCTTTGTAACAACCTTAGTAATTATCTGCCCCTCCGTATTCATTTTAGAAACATTTAGTTTGGTGGGAGTTAGTTTGCATTGCTTTTGGCCTAGTAAAACAGCACCATTTAGTACTTTAGTGAGATAAAATATGGGTGAATTGGACAATTAATGAGGGTACAAAAAGAAAATAGTGTATAGATTTAAGCAATGAAAAACTTTTCTTAATTGGTGTGCAAAACCTTAAACGTCAGTTATAAAAAAAGGGAGGGAGTACTTGCTTCTGATTTGATCTCAGGATGTATAGATGTGATCTGCAATTATTTTGCTTTGCAGATTGTTTAATTATCTGACGATGAGACTCTTTTTTTTTTTTTTTTTTTACCGTCCACAACTGCATGCCTAAAAGATACATGTGATTTATCACAATTCAGAAGCATCCAGATTTTAGATTTTAAGTCATATCCTGCAGTGGAAAATCTTTGACAAATGCTTTTGGTGTTTTAGTTGGAAATCTCTTCTGCACCGCTACTATATATCTAATTAATAGTAAACAGATGAGACCCTGACGAGGAACTATAATACCAATAGGCAATAACAAAAGATATGATTTCAGCACTACTGTCTGCAAGATATCACCTCTCCAAGTTTTCTTTCTTGGAACCTAGGAACTAGTATTCCAAAATTTTGTTGCCCTCGAGAAGTTAATTAGCAAAAATAAATAAATAAATAAAATTCCTAATTTGTCATTGGATTAATTTGAACTCTAAAGTTATGTGGTGATTTAGTGGAATACCTGAATAGCTCCCAATTTCCAACTGATTATTGTATAAGAATGTTTGGAAATTTTTTTTTTTTAAATAACATTGCAGTACTTTTTGTAATATGATATATGTGAGATAAAATAGTAATTTTGTACAAAAAAAATTATTGAAAATTATATTTATGATACAAACAAAATAATTTTTACACAAAAAAAAAAGTGGGAATCCAAACATTTGAATTTTTTGGGGCAAGTTGTGTAGAAAATCCAATATGATAATCATGCATGCAACTTGGTAGCATATGCTTGGATGTTGAGAATTAATTCAATCTACAACTTGATGGCGATGATATTCGTATCTAGTACCTCCTCATTCAAGCTGTCAAATAATGTACTACTTTTTCTAGCAAATAAGTCATCATATCGAGTTAGCATCAAACTAGCATTGTTAACAATCATAGAGCCTGTCTTTTTAGGTGATCATTATCATTTTATCACCAAACTTTTCGTCATCATCCACGTTCAAATGTGTCTGTTTACATCCGGCAATTGCACGCCTCAATATAAAACAAATTTCTCGAGTAAACTGAAAAAACCTTAACTTTAATCACATAAATGTTTTTGTTCTCAATTCCTACTGGTGTGTTAGGGAAATGATCAAGTTTTATGGTGCTAATTGATGAAGACTAAAAATAAATCTATAAAGAAGTAATAAAAATCTTCTTAGATATGTTCTTTGTTATCTGTGTATGATTCATGATGTAACTTTGGCCATCAGTGCAGATATTAATGAAATTATGATGTTCATTAAAAAAAAAAAAAAGTTGATGAAGACAAAAGCCTTGTTTGATAATCCAATACTTAAATTCAAAAGTGTTTGTTAACCAAAAATGGAACATCTGAATTAATGTGATACTGAATTTTCTAGGTCAAATTTATTCCAAAAACTAAGTAATAAATATATTCACTTATCACATAATATAATATATACTCAAACATATTAAATTTTTTAATACTTAACAATTCAGAATGGATTCAAATTTTAAATTTCAATTTTATCAAATGCACCTAACGTGTGCTTATATAAATTGACATCCCACTTGAACATAATTAACTGTAACATGAAAGGCACGTGACTCAATTAGCGACAAACGTGGTTTGACCGCTATGTTGATCATTTCCATTAAAAAATTGGAAAGGTTATTAGGATTGGATTTCAAACATTTAATATGTAAACCACATCAGAATGTAATAATTGCGTACTAAGTTAATTGAGTAAATCTAAATCACGAAGCATCAGTCTCTCGGAATTCAATAAATAAGTTCGAGTTTACAAATAATTGTCGGCTGCCCAGCCACATACCAACACCACGCAAGTTATTTTTAAACACAAAAGATAATCCTATTCTTAACGTCTGATACTTCCATCAAGAAGAATGTTTTTTTTTAATTACTATATAAAAAAAAAGGGTTGATTCTCTCTGCTTGTGTTGTCCCGGCTTAGCATTAGTAAGGAGGAGGAATTGTACGAGAGAAAATTCTAAATTCAAAACTTTCCACTTATATATATATATATATATCCCAAAATGAAGTGTACAAAAGTCATATTAATCTTGCATTTTTTAATTCCATTATAGTTGTATCTTTACCTTTTTACCAAAAAAGAAAGAAAAGAAAAACGTTACTTCCTACTTCATGCGTTGGGGATCACAATTGATTTTCTATCCCACTTCTTGTGTCACTTTCTGTCTCATTTTTATTATATTGCTATTTCTCCTTCATAAATATCGTGTTTTATTTCATTTTTTCCCCTTAAAATCCAATAACTATTAACATAGTTAAAATATAAATACAACAGCCTCAAAAAAGCAATATATAATAGAAAATTTAAAAATATGGTAGAAAAAATCTCATTTTTTTATGCATTTTAATTTTTCGAATTTGTTAAATTTTGTGTATTACTCAATTAATAGTTATTGGATATTAAGGAAACAAAAAAGAAATAAAGCATGATATTTATGAAAGAGAAATAGTAATATAATAAAAAATGGGATAGAGAATGGTACAAAAAGTGGGACAGAAGATCCATTGCAAGCTAATACTAAGTATACTAGTCAATAATTTAAATATTTGTACAACTCATAACCTTCATTGGTTTTTTAGCGAAAAAAATTCTGATTCAATTTGGATCATTATTTCTCCAAATCTGCTAATTAATTGTTTATTTACTTCTTTATGCAGCGTGAGGCATTATGGCATTTTCCTTGTAATTGTTTTGGGATAAATTTCCTTGTAATTTAGAAAACCTCAGATTCTTTGTTTGGGAATCAATCATGTATCTATCCTGGTGTGAGGTATCATATCAGGGCTAATCTCATTTCTAATTTTCTGCACAGAAAAATCAAGTTCCAGACATCCATCCAAACGTTGACATTAATTTTGTGATTTTGTTCTTGACCTTTTAAAATGAAACGTTTACAGTTTTCAACTTCCAGTCTTTTACTAGCCGTAAAATATGTTGGAGGCCTAGAAATTTGAAGCTGGACCCAAAATTATGGCAGGCTTGTTTCTGGCTTACTCTCAACCTCTGGTTGCTCCTGCTGCGCATCCTCAGAGGTTTTAGACTTTTGAGCTGCCCGCTATGGAGTACGGTTTTCAACTTTTGATCTACGGAGTACTCTCCCCTCCTCTCTCTCCAAGGCCGCAAACCAGTCAAACTGCTCACGAGCGCTCTTGATTCGATTTGACCAAAACTTAATTTAAGTTCAGTTAACATCGAACTCGAATCGAGTCCAAGGTCAATCGCAATCGCGAATCATTTGAATATATATATGTATATATAAAGTAAAATTACATATATATTTTTAATATTTTATTATTTGTCAAGAAAAAATTACTATTTTATTTATTTTTAAAATAAAATAATTATTTGTTATTTTTTTAAGCTCAAGTAGTATCAAACTTGAATTTGATTAAACTCGAATTTGAGGTCGAACTCAAATTTTACATTGAAAGTTCGTCGAGTTCGAATTTGATAAAATGAAGTCTAAGATTTAACTCAATTGAGCAAAACTTAACTCATTTGCAACACTACCTCCTCCCCCTCTGGGTTTTCAACAGACTCCAAATTTTATGAGGAGAAGAAAACAAAAAAGGAGAAAAAGGGCAAAATTAACATCGGAACCAAGAATTGCAAAATTAACTTGTTAATATCCCTACCGGTTGAATTGAGTTAGGTGTTAGTCAATGAGGACACAAAATCAACCGGAAATCATTGAGGAATAGCTATAAACCCGCGAGCGTTTGGTAAATTGCAAGCAGCTTTGAGGATGGTCAAGAAAATATGAAGCGGACTTTAATGTGCATGCAACTGTGGAAACTGGTCGCACCTTCTGAGCTACGAATTTGATTTCCCAAGTCCAGAATCCATGGAGTTTCGTTCCAAGGTTCTGCGGATAGTCTCAATGAGGAGAATGCAGGCAGTAGGCCAGGATTTTTGTAGGAGCACCAATGGCAAGACTCAGGTAATAGATTTCAGTGAATGGAAATAAAGAAAAAGAATTAAAGACCATAACACATTGTAAAATTTCATAGGTTAATACTTGAACTATGAGATTTAAGTGGTAATCCAGTTCCAGTTTTGCTCTGGACTACACTTTCAGTTCAGTGATTTCAATCTAAAATTGAAGAAATAGATGCTTAACATTTAATTTGCACGAACTTTCTTGCTATTAAATTAATTTCTGTCAGATGCTAATTCTACTGACAAAGCAAAAGCCATAGAAAGGTTTAAGAGTCCAAGAATCCATTTAATTATCAAATCCAATCTAGTAAATAGTCTGCAATATCATAGTATTGAAACATGAAACCAACTTTTCCATTTGCAAAACAGATAGCAGGCCAATGCCTTGTCGGATCATTCAAACTGCACCAATCTCATGCTCTATAAGTATGCCTTTCCATACCAAGACAAAATTATCAGATGATGGTTTTGTAGCACCTATTTTATCTTTATCACTTATTTATAGAGAATTTAGTCGATCCGAGCAAACACGCCCTCGATTTCGCTCATTTCTCAGCAACGTTTGGCAAAACTTTGTCATAGCATCAGCAGCAATCATACAGCAGAGAAATGAGCCATTTTAATCTGAACATTTTCCCTAATCGACACAATGCCTTGAGATGCTATTCAAATATTCCAGCCACACGTTGAAACTGTGCGTAGCTAATTTCGTACTAGTACTTATTGCCAAGAACTTCAAAAACCCTCCTCCAGACAACGAGCAAACAACAATAACAGCCAATAGCGATGGAGGAATACAAAACAAAGGACCAAAATCCATGTTTACAAGTCATAATCACTCTTAACCATATACACTTGACAACTAGATGATAGCTTGCAGAGACCTATATATTACAACAGTGGAGGCTAGCCACCATAAGCAATTTCCTGGATGCAGACGCATCAAGCGCATAGATAATGCATTCCAGACCCTCTAAAGATCAGGCAGAATGGGCACATTCTAAATGCACCTAGATATGACCTTAACGAAACTACCAAATGTTGGTTGATTTGAAAAAACACACACACAAATTACCTCTTTCGTACTAATAAAAAGAGCTCTGGCTGTCAAGAGGGCTTTACTGAATCTTGTAACGAGGAATCAGACAGTGTAACTAAGAACTTGCATTCTATACTGAGAGCTTAACCAACCTCAATTTCTGCAACCTTGGAAACATATTCTGCACATGCATCACGGCCCCAATCTGTAAGGGCCTTCGCCCATGTAGTGGCCTTCCATATAGAGTGCTGTATTCTGTGCATGGAGGCCATCCATAACCATAAATTGCATATCTTCAGAAGGCTTCCAATGTCTTTTCCTTTGGTTAATGAACCAGTTATTAATCTGTTTTTGGTCCAATCCAGTCGATTCAGCCAAGGCCACCTTCTCTGTCTCCTGATTTTTGTTAAACATTCGGGAAATAAGAACAAGAAGTGAGTATAATCAACCTATCCAATAGAATTTCCTACTCCTTTTAAGTAGACGGGATGATAGTAATGTAAAATAAGCATACCGAAGGATATGGCCATTTATAGTGCAACTCCCACCAACTAAGAAGCTTTTGCCGAGCATCTTTAGGAAGTTTCCCTTTCTTTTTTTTCTTGGAAAGCTCTTGCTTGAGACTGCTTAAGTAGCCACTATACTTCCTCAACAAGTGGTTCTTTAGTTCCCGGTCTTCTGCACGTGGATCAATCTCAGGCAGTTCTGTTTCTCCACCACTATTGTCTTGGTCCTCTTCAGATGATCCAACACCCTCACATTTCTCATCTGCCAATTTCTTAGTTTAGAAAACACAGACTAGCAAAAGAGTGCAAGCGAGTGGTACTTAATATTCAAAAGATGAATGCATAGCACAATTGCATAAGGTGAAAGAAGAACAGTGTAGTTGTATTACTTTCCAAAGACAAAACAACAGTGATAAGGGACAGTATTTGTGTTAAAAAATTGAAGCCTATTCTTTGCATTCTACATATATATGCAAAAAGAGCAACTCCTTCATTACATACCCAGCCAACAAGAGCAAAGGAGAACTAATTCTTTACTCAACAGAGAGATATACAAGTATAACAAGAAAGGAAGTAGACAAAGAACATTATGCAATTGTGTAAGAATTTTGCAACTGGTTCAAGACACACATAATCCATCACAGAAATGACCTCTTTACTCATAGGCACAGCTTTCATGTCGTGTGGAAATTCATTAGCTAGGTTGACAAATACGTGGTATACAACTGCTTTTTAAACTATGATGCAAGAAATAATAATGCCATATAAACCATACCATGATGATAGACGTGTACAGCACAAACACTTCTCAAATATGGATTAGTAGTTTGGCTTTTATTATGTCTTCCTAGACTTTCATCTTAAGTAGATTCCTTGAGTGATAATAGTAGAACAAGTAAAAGGTTGAATCTATACACAAGAAGATAGCTTTATGAAGATAGCAGTCTCAAGCAAATTATACCGAATTAGTCAATCAATTTCTCAATGTATTTGGCCAGAATAATTGGAAAAGAAAAAAAGGAGGGCCATCTCGTCCTCTACCACTATTTTTACATATATAAGAGACCAAAATTTCTACAAATCTGAAATTAGCTAACTAAACTCAGTGAAGATTGTAATTAGCTCACATCAAATATTAATTCCTTCACACAAATCACAGTAAATAAAGTATAATCTCTACTTTGATTTACTTTAAACCATTGTGTTGCATATGATATCGATCATTAGACAAAGGAAAAACAAAAGATTGAGCAAGCATTAAGCAAACGCACCACTATAGCCAAACTGTTAGATTCATGAGTAAATAACTATGTCCCACATTAGTTTGAAAGATGAAAAAAGAGCGGTTAATATGTAAGTAAGGACTCAAAACCCAATAGCTTAAACTTTCAGGTCAAAATTGGGTTCTTGACTTACATATTGCGCTCTTTAGTGGGCTCTCTCAAGGTTTTTTTCCCTAACAAGTGGCTACCTAACAAGTGGTCTCAAAACTATTGGTTGCGACACTTGGCTACTCGTGAGCAAGTCGATTCTTCTCAGAGAAAATTTTCTTCTTGGTGATGGACCAAAGTGTCGACAAGGGTCCAAAATCTAGTTTGAATATTGAAGAAGAGTGGGTCGATGATTAAAAGAAAATGTGACCTTAAGTGTTAAGGTAGATTCGCAGAAAAGCTTGTAAACTTGGGTTCAATGTAAAAGGTTACTCATGAAGGGGAGATTTGTTAATATGTAAGTAAGGACCCGAAACCTAATAGTTTAAACTTTTGGGATCAGAGTTGGATTCCTGCTTTACATGTTGGATTCTTTGAAGGGTTCTTTCGACATGTCTCTCTAGCACCAAGTGGGCTCTTTGATGGGTTCTCTCGACCCAAGACCTAATAGTTTAAGATTTTGGGTTAGAGTTGGGATCCTGCCTTACATGTTGAGCTCTTTGATGGGTTCTTTCGACGTGTTTCTGCCTAACACCAAGTGTGCTCTTTGATAGGTTCTCTTGAGGTGTTTCTCTCTAACATCAAGTTGGCAAGAAGAGAGCATATCTGTGAGTTATCCCTTTAGATTAAGGTCCAATTTAGGAGGAACCCCCATCAAACGTCATATCAAATTCAACAAAATCATTTCACAGTCATTGTTGAATAATTTAGGCAAAACATACAGAGAAAAGTGTAGGACATATCATATTTGCTCACGTACAATTTATGTAAGCTACATTTGTACTGCATGGATGGCACTATTACTCATGATACCCAGTTAATTCTGCTTGTAGAGTCCTTTTTGAAGTTTAGTTCTTTTTAGATTATAAAAAAAAATGCTGAAACATCGTTTTTCTTCTCAATTTCTTACATGTTGTAACAACTAAATGTCGACAATTATTAGTGAACCATATGCAATTATGCAGTGTCATAGAATGTACACTATTTTCTTTCCCATTTTCATCAAAAGCTAAGAATCTTGTGAGCAACGACATCATGTGATAAAATAAAAGTTTCTTCTTGATAAACTAGAAGGGGACGACAAAGGGCCAAAAAGAAATCACAACCAAAAAAAATGACACAGATGTGGAAGGGCCCAAATTCAAGAAGTCAGAACAAGAGAACAAACTGACCATGCAATTTAGAACAGCAAAAGATGACTTCACATTCACAAGACAGCAAACTAGAACGGTAGAGTAGCCAAGATTTACATCCATGGGTCAATTACAATTGGATGAATGGCAACTAATCCTGTACGCTAGAATTCTCAATGCCATAAAAATGCAAAAGCAAACTAACCAGAAACCCCAAAATATTAGGAAATTTTCAGTTCATGCATTCAGCCTTAAAAGTACTGCTGAAGCTAATCTACATTGACATATGATTAAATCTCTTCTATCAAATCAAGCAATGGGAGAAGAAATTTTTTTTAATCCAAAGAAACAATCTTAAACGTTACTAGACTTAATTCTTACATTAACTATTATAACAAAACCTTACCAAACACATTCATGGCCAAAGTAGACTGCCATTGCACAGATCAAAAAAATTTATAATGAAGCCCTATAAAATATATAGTGGAAACAAATCAGATGATCATGGGAAGGTGTTTTTTCTGTTTGGTGGTTTGGTTTGGTTCATTCTGTTTTTTCTGTTTGGTTTGGTTAAATATCAGCAATTTTCATATTCCTCTAGCATCTTAAGCGTCAAGCAAGTAAGATTACATTAAAAAATTCATTAGTACAACAAGAACAAAAATAGTTGGAAGGAAAATGCACCTTTACAAATCTATTGTTCATAAGAAAATCAAAATGAAAACAAAGGCCATAAAAAATTAAACAGTAAGAAATAAATGTGAACAGAAATCTGACAGTGTCCATACAGAGCTACATGAAGTGGCACTGATATGAACAGCATCCTATGTGCTTCATATTTCCAAGGCCTAAAAGGTACCCAAAACCAAATATAAATTGTTCCCACCGAAAAAGCAAAGCAGAATCGGAAATGACAACAATAATTTGATATTTACTCGAGGTGTATATACACATACACATCACTGACCACCAGACAGAGAGAGAGAGAGAGAGAGAGAGAGAGAAGTGGTTGTGTAAAGGATTATTAGCATTGGGAATAAACCTCATTAAGAATGATTTTGTCAGAAGACTCAGAAGCAATACACAAAAGCTAACTGAAAATAGAAGCAAACCCAAACGTGCGATTTCATCGTTCTTTTTACACTAGAAGATCTATTATTTGTCTCTGATCCCTCCTCGCAATCTTTATTGCCAAAAAGGAATAACATCACAAGTATCTTCTTACTGTAGACTCGTGATTAGGGTTTTTCCCACTCTGACAAAGGTCCTCCTCTCTTGCTTGGAAGAAGCATTAGCAAAGGATAATGTGTTGTTAATATCGGTCAAACTATCCCTGGAAATTGGAAAAATGGCACGGGACAGCATTGATTGCACAAAAATCTGGGCAGGCCTAGCTAACAAAGTGGTAAGACCATCAAAAGAGTTAAAGACACTCACCACATTCGTAGTCTCTCGACAGCTGAACTATCAGTTCCATACTGCACAATGAAAGTTAAACCGCACCTATATATCAGACCAGCCGAGCCCCCCAGCTACTCTATAAACAATACTGGTGAACATTTATTCTCCTAATATCCCGTGCAATCCCTTTGATTTCTTTCCTTGCTAGGCTGGACGATAAAAATGGAAACACTCGTCTTCTATCCATTTCAAAGACTCTAAATTGATGAAGAATGAATGAAAGTACTACCAGAGTTGAAGATCCGGACGGGACCATTTCCAAGCATATTTAGCTGTGTTTCGACTCTTCGCATGAACTCCATAGCTTCTTGTAACGGTCGAGTTAGCTCCTCTCGATACTTCACCAACATGTCATAGTAAGCTTCCTAAATTTCAAATCACTGATTATGAGATCAAACCCATGAAAACCCTTTAAAAAATTTAGAGAATATTATCGAATTAAATTAGCAAAAAGTTAAAAATAATGATCACACCATGAATTGGTCTAGTTCTGGATCCTTATTAACATCTCTACCGGTCACCAAGGAAGCGCGTTGCCTTGCTTCAAACTCCTGCCTGGCTGCCGTGAGCCGTGCAACCACCTCGGGCGGAGCTCCCACCTAAGGTAAACAAAAGTAGAAAATCGATTGAAAAAATAAATTACAAGAATGAATATTGGAATGACATTATTGTTTCAGTAAAGTTGTACTACCTTTTGACAATCCATGTAAGCTTCCAAGAGGTTAGAATACTGAGGATGAGCAATAATCTTTGCTTTTATAGCTTCTACTTCACCAGAAATTTCGCTCTCTTGATGGTGTGGTTGATGATGATGATCTTGGACAGTTTGATGGCTCCTGATTATGGAAGGATATTGAAACTTGTGTTGTCCGTGTTGGTGATGAGAAGAGGCTCCAGCTTCTGTTTTTACGATGGGATGGTCTTGGCCTTCGGATTGCTGATAACATTCAGCACTTGATTGAAGATGAAAGCTACTGATTGGTAACTGATTGTTAGAGCCGCTGCTGGCTCTTGCATACACTGATGAGCTTGGTGCTGCTAGGACTGGGCCTCCATACAAGAAACTTCCCCTTGGACCAGTGTTTTCTCCCAGATGATGATTATATTCTTCCATTTTCTCGCAGCAAAGTTTGAAGCTGAAAATAAGCTACAAATATAGAGAAAACCCCCTGAACCCTGAATCAAGAACTCAAAAAAGAGTTGGAAAAGTTAAAAACCCTAAAGAGTGAAGAAGGAACAAGTTTTTTTTTTTCTTTTTACTATCAAATGATAAGGTTTAATACACTCATGAGTAAAGAGTGGATGTTTATATTTGAATTTCAGGTAAAAAGTCGATGATGATCTCTTCTGTTGAGGTCAAGGAGGCCTTGAGCTGAGCTTGTTGCACTTGAACTTTACCATCATAAAAAGGATCCTGAGGCACTAATAGAATTGTCTCTTCCATGGTAGGGATAATAGTTACATGGGTGGCAAGAGGGGGGCTGAGAAGGGACTGGCGGCGTTGGCTTTGGGGGTGGCTCTAGGCCGGAGACTGTGGAGGCCTCTGAGGCTTGAATGAGTGACAAGACGTTGTTTGTTGTCGAAGAATTAAAGAAATAAATTTTCAGGGTATCGTACTCCTGAATAGTATAAAAAAGCAAAGAAGACCACAAGATGATAAGGAAACCAGTCGGAGTCGGAGTAGATTTTTCCAATTTCTTTTCTTGCGGCCTTTTTGTTCTCTCCCCTTTCCTCCCATTACTTTAATGGGGCTTTACATCTTTCACCTCAGGTCTGTTTAATTACTTCCTTTTTCTGATTGTTCATTCCCTCGGTCTCTCTGACTCTCTTTCCTTGAATTATTTTATTGAATTGTTTAAAAATAATTTTCTACCATATGAATTGTAGTTAAATTCAGTGGAAGATAATGAAGAATCTACCAGCACCATGGGGTAAACTTGAATCGATACTCTTAACACACGTTATTGATATTAATTGTGGATTAAAAAAAAAGATTAATTGTGTGATAGACAAACCATAGGTAATGTGGTTATGAATCTACAATCTTTGACATAAAGTTCAATATGGACATGATTATCATCATGACATGTAGTTTTGATCTGGTCAAATATTTCAACATTAAAAAAATTTTTATTCTTTCCCTAAACATATTATTGTTTAATTTTTTTATATTTTATTTCAACCACATTTCCATTCTGTAGCATCACATTAAAAAAAAAAAAAGTGCTACATTAAATAACATAAAAAGAATTTTGAATACTATTCACTTTGATTTGTGAGACAGCAAAAAAACTTAAAAGTTTTTATTGATTAAAAAACTTAAAAGTTGGAAGATTTTACTTCTTTTTTCACTTACGTTTGAGATATCTATTAGACTGTTGACAACATTCATGCTTTTACAGTTTTGTTTGATCACAACTACTTTAACATACTTTCTCTGATGATTCTTAAAGGAAAAAAAAAAAACTACTTTAACATGAGAATATTCTAACATCACTAAGCACATCTATGTCAGATGAAAGCCATCACAAGCAAGTTTGGACAGCCATTTTCCATCGAAAAATGGTCTTGTTTGTTTTTCGTGAACACATTTTTCTATCACCTTTTTACCTCACATACATCAAATCGTTACAGTAATTTTCCAACAAAAAATCCATGAAAAATGCAATCCAAACACGCTCACTAAAGTAGCATTCCATTCCATTTATTCCTCAAAATTTTGTCTTTTGCAATTTTTTTTATAACACAGACTCCATTGTTAAAAAATCATGCTTAGTGTATAAACATTCTAGTTGGACAACCTAACTAATTTTTGTGAATTTTTACAAAATTTTTAGAAATACTTTCTTGATATATTTTTTAATTAATTTTTTTGTTTCATATATATATATTATATTATTATAGTATATTTTTCTACGAAACCTCCCAAAACTCCAATTTATTAGGCAAGCTCTAACACTAACAACTTTAGATCAAAGGGCCAAGGTGAAGTTTGGCTTCGTCAAGTGCTTTGGGTAGTTTGTTTTACGGGGTACCGTACCTTTATCGACCTTCCATATTACTAGGAAAAGTACCACAAATTTTTTTTATTTAAACATATAACCAAAGGTCGTAGCAAATGTCGTCCCAATTAGCAGCCCTTTAGAATCTTTGATTTTGACTTCAACCAATTGGCATTCCATTTTACTGGGCCCTTGTCAAGACTCCAGACGTGTGATGCATCCATTTTTCCTCCTTTGCTTTTGTCTAAACCAAAAAAATTCAATTATTAAATCCATCCATTAACGACGAGCAATCTAAGGTTTAGCAAACCTCTCTATGACTGAGTAACCTTTTAGTGTTTTAAAGAGTAAATAAATGATTAACACGTTTACTTTACTCAAGTTGGAATTTGATTTTCCGAAATTTATTTCATTCAAATCTATATCTATGTAAATTGCAAAAGGGGTTTTCAGAATGATCATGTGATCGTGCTTCCAACTATTTATTATTTCAATAGAATTTTGATTTTTTTAATTTAAAATCTAAGAAATGACTCCACTAATATAGAAATTTAGTTTGAAATTTATTCATGGGAGGATAAATAAAGATGAAGCATCCTAAGTCCTACAAAAAGTAAAACGGTAAAGAACAAATATTTTACTCTTCAACTCAGCAATACTAATTAAAAAGGCAAATTATATAAAAATGAAAAAAATCAATAATGGTAGTATTCTTGAAACTTAAATTATGAAATCACTGAATTGAAAACAAAGTCCTACTAGCCCTTCAAGGGAAAAAAAATTTTATTTTTGATAAACAAATAATAAAAACAACACCAACCTCGCCAAAAATTTAAAAAAAAAGTAAGTAACAATATAATTTAAGATAAAGACCTAAATCAATTTGTACATATCTGATTTAAATTTGACCCAACCACTAATATTAACCTTCAGCACTAATGATTATTTTGTATATTTATATTGTTTTTTTGCGATTATTGCAGGTATTATAAGATATTATCAGTTTTTTATTTGTACTTTCAAATGCTAGTACTTGCCGCCATTGTGGTCAATTCTTGGTTTTATATAGTTTTTATATTGTGAAAGGTAAAGTTAAATAATATTCCAAAAATGTTAAACCAAATTGCGGGTTATGAGTTTCTCTTTTCTCTTGCTTCAAATTTCACCTTTCAATTTAGAGGATGAATACGGAATCAACGATAAACTTTTTGACACCATTCAATCCAATTTTATGTCACAACATTTGTACGTTGTTCTTTTATTTTGAAGATACAAAAGTAAGTATATTTTAAAAGTGTAAAATTAAATTGCAAGTTATGTCAGGATGCCAGTGGTTCTAAAAAAATTGTTTAAAACCGAAATTTTCTTTCTGGAATTTGGCGTATTATTAGCGTAAACACTCTAAACCCAAATTTGCAGTGGTATGACTATTAACATCTAGCTCGCTGGTTGATTCTCATTGAAATGATTCATTCGGACTGTGACAGACAACATGCTCGAAGAAGCTTGAAGCATCTAGATCCTCATCAATCCTAACCGAACGGTAAACTTGGAGTCCAATCTAGCTCAAAGAAGCAGCTAACTTGAGAGTGTGAACTCTTGGTGGTACATTTACAACCAGAGTTTCTGTTCATGCAACTCCATCATTTTATTATCATTTCATTTCTAGTGGAATTATCCGTCTCATCTTGCAAGCCTAGCCTTATCTAAAAAGACGGTTACACGCTATTGATCGCACTTTCATCTCATCGCGTTGTTTCTGAGTTTCGGATTGGAGTATCAACTATCAATCATTTGTTTCAAGATTTTAAGAACTAGAACCTGATCATGGTGTCCCCCAACGGAAGCATATAGAATTCGCAGCTCTCAAGTACTAATATTTTGGTTACAAAGTCGGTCCAAATATTTTTGTATATAATTACATAAGAACCCATTTTAAATAGTCTTTGCTAATAATTAAAAGAAAAACAGAATTTAGCTTCCATACATGTATTTTTTGAACAGGGTATAGGCGGGTCGATTTTAATAATCAATATAGATTGGAGTCTTCTGTTTTATATGAGCACTGCACAAACTCTATGCAATCACTTGCACTAATCAATTTTAACGATACATATGTCCTACACCCATCTACCCAACAACCTAATATATAATAAAATGTATCACTTTCTCGTGCCATTCATTCGTGTTATTGCAAGTAAGACTGCATACGAGTCGAGCCATTAGCGAATCAATTGCAAGCAATATCGAATTCGAATCGAGTTCTAACTGATCAGATCGAATTCGAATTCAAAAATATTCAATTCGTTAGTTTGCGAGTTTCTAGAAGGAATTTCACGAGACCTTTATGAGAATTTAGAAATCCGGCATTTTGATATTTTTTATTTTAATAGTAAAATTATATATATTCATAATATTTTATTATTTGTTAAGAAAAATACTACTTTATTCATTTTTTAAAATAAAATTAATTATTTCTTTTAAACTTGAGTTCGAGCTCAACTCAGCTTTAATTTGATGTTGAATTCGAGCTCGAGATTTACATTAAGAGCTCGTCGAATTCGAGATCAAATCCGAATTTGATAAAATTAAGTCGAGACTTAATTTGATTAGACCAAAGTTTGATTTGACTCGAATCATTTGCACTCCTAATTGCAAACAAAGTATGGACAGGGAGCTGTAAGGTGAAGAGTAACAATGCAAAGAAGCAATTAAGAAATAAGCTAATTCTGGAGGTGGAATTATTTCTTAAAATCCTTTGTCAAATATTTATTATCCCAAAGGGGGTTGGTTCTAAGATTTTCAACCCGCAAAATAAGATCAGAAAGAAAGAAAGAGGAGATATGTTACTGTGAAAGAGGCTTGACTCTCGGAGGCAGAGTGTTTTAAAAACCTTTGTCGAAGGCTTCGTCTTGAGACAGTCATACTTGAAATGCCCCAAGGCAATCCAATGCTCTCAAACGCCCCAAATAATATAGAGAAGTTTGAGACTCAGATTAATTCGGTTTGTTGCAACGAGAAAATGGAAAAAAAAAAAAGAATTATAAAACCTCACAAGTAATACAATGATTAAGAAAAACCTCACAGCTTTGTGGTTTATTAACCTATACATTTTACGACCTTGTTTGGATTGTGATTTTTTGAAGAAAAATTTTTGCGCAATCTATAAATATTCTTTCTATCTATTTTTTAATTACTTTTGTACCTTATATACATCATATCTTTAAAAAAATACCAAAAAAGAGTTCTGCAGGAACTTCTGAATTTTGGAAGAGTTTCAAGTTTCTTCTCAACTTTGATCATCAATTTGTTGATTAAAATTTATATAATTAGTTGATATTTAATAAGTATCGGATTTTTATGAAACATTTTATCTAATTATCTGCCTTTTTAAAGCCCAAATCTCACGGTAAGTGAAAAGAAATTGTAAGACCTAAAACGTGGTGGTACCTTGTACGTAAGTGTGAAAAGCTAGCGGTACTATTGAATAAGAAGTGGAGACAACCAGTGGCAATGGGGCATGCAATTATACGTGGTATTAGTACGAAAATTTCAACGGTTAACAGTGAAAAAAAGGAAAGATCCAGACTGACCTTGGGTATAATTTCAAAAACCCCCTTGAGGTTTTTCATAATTTCAATGACCTCCCTTAAAATTTAAAAAATTATGTTGATCTTCACTGACAGAATAAAGGACCCATTTGCTAACATCACCTAACA